ATCTGGGAAGCCACCATTATAACTTGAGGGGGGCCGTTTTTACACTTATTACTACTTTTTGCGAAATAATCATTAGATTATAAAAGTTTTGGCCACCATGCAAAACCAAAATTGAATCGAATGACCTCTATCCACCTATTATTACATCTTTAATACCCCATGGCGAAGATCAAGTTTTTAACAGTGTCTATGTAATTGAAAGTTTCCATTGAGGGATAGTTCACCCAAAAATGAAAATTCTGTCATTAATTATTCACCCTCATGTTGTTCCAAACCCGTAAGACCTTCTTTGGAACACAAATTAAGATATGTTTGATGAAATCTGAGAGCATTCTGACCCTGCATAGACAGCAACACAACTACCACGTTCGTGGTACTGTCGTGAACACACGTCGAATTCTGACACAGAACGACAGAAGAGAAGAAATTGTTGAATAAAGTCATTATTTTAGTTTGCTTTGCACACAAAAAGTATTCTCGTAGCTTCATAAAATGAAGGTTGAACAACTGATGTCACATGGACTATTTTAATGATGTCCTTACTGCCTTTCTGGGCCTTGAACATGGTAGTTCCTTTGCTGTCTAGAAAGCTCTCGGATTTCATCAAAAATACCTTAATTTGTCTTCCGAAGATGAACAAAGGTCATATGGGTTTGGAAAGACATGAGAGTGAGTAATTAATGACAGAATTTTCATTTGTGTGTGAACTATCCCTTTAATATAGGAACTGCTACAACAATACGGGTAGAAGCAAAATATTGTCCAAATTATAAGGCCAGAGGCCAGAAACATCACAAGCTGATGTTTACGTAATGGTTAATAGATAGATAGATAGATAGATAGGACTACATAAAACATGTTTTCCACGAAGACATGGTGTGATGTGTTCTGATGGTTTGTCTAAAAGCAGTGACATTTTGCAGACTAGATTAAATAAACAGAGCTGATAGGTCATGGTGTTTTGTTGGGCATCCTCAACCCTCAAGGACTGTTTTGCTCACAGTTTTGGTATTTTATTTCAGGCCAGTTCATCAGTCACAAAACACTTTGTGCAAAGAAGAGGAAATTCCTGCTAACACTTTTCAACTGCAATGTGTCAGAGGGTTCCTCGTGGTTCTGCACAAAATACCACGTTAGCTTTCAACCAAAGCCAGCTCTGACTTTGTAAGTAAAGGGAGAGGTCTTGCTTCATTTTCCCAGCTTCTGGATTGAATCACTTCTGGACGTCTAGCCCTGGGGTCACTGATGACATCATGCTCTCCACCTTAGTCCAAACTACCCATTTACTCTCATGTTGCTTGTTTCATTTGTTGCTCTCATAAGATGTTTTAGAAACTCAGCACAGAAAAAGTGAAAAAGAAGTAATAACAACCCCCGCCCTTGACAAAATAAGTATTTATATATCGTCTTAGCTGGAACAATATGTCCCTCGTACAGTGAAGGACTCGGTCCTACCTCATCTTTAATGATTACCAGGAGGCGAGTTATTCTAACTAAAGCTCACGTCTCCCCAGAGACCGTAAACACACTTGTAGTCAGGCTGCAGAACAGCTATTGTTGACGTTACTTGGGTGAACGATGAGGCCTTCGAAGCGCTGTTGGTGATCCTTCCTGGCGTGTGCAAACAGCCTGTTCTGTGTTTAGATTAAATTTAATGTGAAATTTAGCATATGCTTGCCAAATCAAAGAAAAGAGATGCATAGATCTGTCAACTTTCACTATAAGCAATGCATTTTCTTCACGTACATTTAAAAGATGTTTATCAGACCTCCATGACTTATTTTTTTAGAACATGCTACATTTAGCACTAAGCCAGGTTTCAGCTCTCCTTCTTGCAGTCTAATAAGTTGCCAGGAAATGACAACCATTAGCTCTGGCGATCTGAAGAAAGATGAAGGAAGTAGCTCTGGCGATCTGAAGAAAGATGAAGGAAGTAGCTCTGGCGATCTGAAGAAAGATGAAGGAAGTAGCTCTGGCGATCTGAAGAAAGATGAAGGAAGTAGCTCTGGCGATCTGAAGAAAGATGAAGGAAGTAGCTCTGGCGATCTGAAGAAAGATGAAGGAAGTAGCTCTGGCGATCTGAAGAAAGATGAAGGAAGTAGATGGCAGTTGTGGGATGGATCCCAGGTGTTCACACACCTGCACAAAGGCT